TTTTAAACTGGATCCAAAAAATGCAAACAATTTTCTGCCACATATTCACATCCATCAATACATGCATCATTGAGACCTACATGTAAGTGGAGCAAAAACAAGCTACTCTCTCTAGTCAGCACTCTTAACCCGTCTTCGTTGCTTATTCTGTGTATCAGAGTCCTGCCTTTGTCCTTAGGCAAACTGCACTTAGAGCACAGGTGTCTTACGTTTATCAACACCATCAAAGAGGAGACATTTGTTTCCTATAAGGAACTACAAGAATAATGTCTGTGGTGCTATGGTGTCCACATAAACTTAAGAGGAAGGCCCGCAGGAGCAAGCCAGCTCTGCAGATGAGGCAGTGGTGATGGTAGAGCATGCCTGCATCCCCCAGGGTCCCACCTTGGGATACATGGATCCTCCAAAGCCATCTCCGTGCTCCCAGCTGCAGCAGCCAGCGTGTCACCTTCAGGATATTTCCTGGAGAGTTCATCCAATGAGGGCTCAAAAGGCAAGGACAGGGAGAATAACAGAGAAACAATACCTGGAACACCTAATACATGGCCTTGAAATCTTTGAGACAATAGTTAAGGATGCAATATGGCAAAATGTGAATGTGTGGGGTTGCAATGCCACTGAATATTTCCAAAACAGTGGTTCTCAGCCTGGGGTGATTTGCCCCTCCCTCTCTACTCCACAGGGGACATGAGGCAAGACATTTTTGGTTGTCACAGTGAAATGAGGTGCTGCTGTGTCTACTGGGTAGACGCCAGGGATCCTGCAGAAAATCCTGCAGTTTACAGGACAGCCCTCCATAACAAAGAATTATCCCATCCAAAATGTCAGTAGCACTCAGGTAGAGCAGTTCTGCTCTAGAACAACCAGAAGGGATGAAAGGAAATTATTTCCTCCTCAGTGAGGGAAGGATGAAAGAAAAGAGCTATTACTATGGATGGTTACAGATGAGGCCTAAAGAAAAAGAATCTAAAGAAAAAGACTGCCCTGCCGGACGTGGTGGTTCACACCTGTAATCCCAGCACTTTGGGAGGCCAAGGTGCATGGATCACCTGAGGTCAGGAGTTCAAGACCAGCCTGGCCAACATGGTGAAAAGCCGTTTCTACTAAAAATACAAAAATCAATCGAGTGTGGTGGCACATGCCTGTAATCTCAGCTACTTGGGAGGCTGAGGCAGGAGGATCACTCGGGAGGCAGAGGTTGCAGTGAGCCGAGATTGTGCCACTGCATTCCAGCCTGGGCAACAGAGCGAGGCTCCGTCTCAAAAAAAAAAAAAAAAGCAATAATTTAAAAAATGCCCTTTGCCTTTTTAAATTTATTTCTTTTCTTTCTTTCTTTCTTTTTTTTTTTTTAAGAGATAGCGTCTTGCTATTTTGCCCAGGGCTAGCCTTGAACTCCTGGGCCCAAGGAATCCTCCCACCTCAGCCTCTCAAAGTGCTGGCATTACAGGTGTGAGCCACCACGCCCAGCCCAAGAATGCCCTTTGTATACTATTGGACATTTCTTAACTTTCTTACCTTTATATTCACACTCATACATCCACTACTGAGCAAAGGATACATTTATTTATCATCTTTTTGCAACAGAGATATCAACATTTAAAACTGGATCTGGCGAGGAGGGGAAAATTCCTTTAAAAAAATAAGACTTCTTCATTCAGACCTTCATCTGTATTAGTCAGAACTTGTTTCCTATGTAGCTTAACATTCAGTAGGAATATGTCCAAACATGCAATCATTGTAAACTTCACAGTGGGTTATACCTGTGGGAACGGTTTTACGGACCACAGATTAAAGTGGGGAAAAGGTTTAGAAAACTGTACTCAATGATCTGTTGAGAACTAAGAAAGAAGCAGCAGCTCCCCCAGGTCCTGGAATCCTAATCCGCATCTCTGTGTTCCTGGAGCACCGTCCCCCATAGAACAAGTGGCCCAATAGTGACCAGCATGTTCTATGACTGCCTGGGTTTGGATCCCATCTTCAGGAAGACAAGCTGTGTGGCCTTAGGCCAGTTACTGAACTTCTTTGTGCTGCTGTTTTTTCATCCAAAAAATAGAGATAACAATAGAATGTACCTCATAGCAATGTCCGGTCGATCAAGTGAGATAATACAGGGAAAACACTTAGCACCTGTCAGGGCATTGCAAGCCCTCTGGAAGTCTTAGCTGTTACAGTTTGGATGAGAAACTGAAACATAGTATATTGATCAAAGTTAAAGAACTAGGTCTGTTTGCTTTTAAATATAATCAACTTTTGTATCTCTGTGGCTTAAAATAATCTGTAGGTTGTTTTAAAACTAGACAAAATAAATTTAATTTTCTTTTCCTCTACTCTGGAACTGACAAGCCAAAATTATACCGGTACCAAAGAATGCTTATAAAATTAGAAAACAGCGTTAGTGGAGGAAGAGCCCAAGAAAGGTAATTTAGATAATTTACTGTGAAAGGAAGCTTAAGAACGGGTTTTGTGTTTGTGCAAATCCTAGGTGCTCAATGAATGTCTACTGAGAAATAAAACTGAGTGATATTTTTATGGAAGATGAGAAGTAATACAATCTTAAGGAAAAGTTGCGTGGGGAAAAAAAAAAAAGAAATCACTATAGAGGCGACACACTGGACTCACAAAATATTGTAGGAGATGTGGGGAGTTCCCATGAAGACACTCACAGTGCTTCTCTTCCCTGGCAGCTCACTGGGGCTCTGAGAATCCCATTGTTGGCCAGGGTGTGGTGGCTCACACCTGTAATCTCAGTAGTTTGGGAGACTGAGGTGGGCGGATCGCTTGAGCCCAGGAGTTCAAGACCAGCCTGGGCGACAAAAAATATAAAAATTAGCTGGGCGTGGTGGTGTGTATCTGTAGTCCCAGCTACTTGGGAGGATGAGGTAGGAGGATGGCCTGAGCCTGGGGAGACTGAGGCTGCAACGCCACTGCACGCCAGCCTGGGCAACAGAGCGAGACCCTGTCTCAAAAAAAGAAGAATCCTATTGCTCAGGGGGGATTGATTAAATCAGGATGGGCAGAAGAGGGCTGGAGCTCAGGCATCTGTATTTTTAGAGTTTTTTATATTATTCCAATGCGCAGCCAAGGTTGAGAGCCAAGGCTCTCGTCTACACCAATGGTTCTCAACCTTGAATGCCAAAGGAATGGCCTGGGATTTTATTAAAACTCAGATTCCAGTTCCGTCGGTGTGTAGAAGGGAAGCGGGGAGCACAAGGGAGCAGGAGGCCAAGATATGTGTTTCCTAAGTAACTCCAAGAAGATAGTAATTTTGCAGTTCTATGGATTCCATTTGCAGCTGCAAAGCTCATATGCTTTGAAAATGGCTCTATATAAACACATGTATGATATCATTATAAAGTGCTACTGCTGTTCTTTCAGAGGAAACTCATTTGTTCTACAAATTTATAGGAGCCTACGTGCTTTTGGAGGGATACAAAGATTGATAAATAGATGACTTCCCTCAAGTTATTTACAATTCAATTTATAATAGATGACATTTAAGTTAAGTAGAAAATAAAACTTCCTGATTGTAAGGCTTTCTGATGGTGGTGAGATGGGATGGGTGTTCGAGGACACTGGAGAGGTATTGATGGGTATTGAGGTTGAGGATATTAAGGGAAACTTTTGCTTCAGGAAAGTAATGAAGGAAGAATATCTGTGTCACGCAACAGAGGAAAAGTGGAAAATTCAGGAAAGAGGTGGAAGAAGTTCATAGCAAAAAGAGATTGAGCATCAGGGTTTGGGTTTGTTTTTTTGAGACAGGGTCTCACTCTGTTGCCCAGGCTGAGTGTAGTGCTGCAATCATAGCTCACTGCATCCTTGACCTCTCAGGCTCAAGCAATCCTCCCGTCTCAGCCTCCTGAGTAGCTGGGACTGCAGGCATTCACCAGCACACCTGGCTAATTTTTGTATTTTTTGTAGAGACAGGGTTTGGCTAATGCCGCCCAGGCTAGTCTTGAACTCCTGGATGCAAGCAATCCTCCCACCTCGGCCTCCCAAAATGCTGGGATCACAGGCATGAGCCACTGCACCAGACCATGAAAGTTTGAAAGAAGTAGTCTTATAGATGGTTGTGAAGAGTTGGAAGTTTCTGAGGAAAGACAGCCTTGTTTCTGAAGGTAAGAGGACATTGCTACTGGATTTGAGGTTTTATCTGGGAGCTCCTACTGGTCTATGATACTCACTGGGCTTCTCACGTAAGCCAAGCACATAAGTTCAGCTAAATTTTCTCTAAAAGATTCGTCCATATGCCATTTGCATCTGACTTCCAAACCAAATAGATTTATAAACATTGAGAGCAGCTTTAGTCAAGTATTGGAACCTGGTGGTTTATACCATGAATCTTTCTGAATAGTTTCTCCTGGTGTCTTCTCCATGTATTTAACATTATCAATCAACAGCAGTCTGACATCAAGAGTGTTCAAATCCATTCATTTGCATCAGGCTGGGCACCAAGTGGACAGACAGAGGTTGCTGGAACTTCATCTTTATTGGTCACCTGGCTGATACCAACTTTGCTGAGGCTGGCAAGCTCCACACCAGGCTTGCAAAATCTCCACCTGCTGACGAAAGCGCTAATGGATCTGCTGAGCTTTCAAGCTGTCGGACAAACCTGCTCCTCCTTGTCTAAGTGCCAGCAGATTTAGAAATGCCTCCGAGAGTCATTCCCCAGACTTTAGCACCTTAAATTTTTTTTAACCCACCTTCTGTACACACACACATACACATACACACACACCCACAATTTTTAAAGGGTAGTGCTTTTTTTTCTTATTAAAAGTAATATCTGTACTAGGCAAAACATTCAGAAAACAGAAAAGTGTAAAGGAAAACATAAAAATCACCATAATCTCTCTATCCAAAGATAAACATGAGCTCTGTTCATATTTTGGTAAATTTCTTCCAGGTCACGTTTATTACAAATGTGGGATTATGCCGCAGAGGCAGCTTTGCTATTCTACTTTGTCAGTTAACATTCTTGTTAAATAAGTTGAAAGGGGGAATCATTTTTCTTTTCCTAGTCTGCTCATATCCGTGAAGGCAAATAGCTCTTCCATAGTGTCAATTCCCACTGGTGGGTCATGGCCTTCATTATATACTGGAAACAGCGTTTGGTAAGAGAATTATCTGGTGTTCCAGATGCCTTGTGCTGAGACTGCTGTTGGATTCAGTAAAGAATGGCTCTGTCCGAGGTAGGGATTAGTTAAGGTAGGTAGAATTTGCTGATTCTCACTCTCACAATATTCTTGGGGATAAGGTGTTGTGCCAAACTCCTATTAATCTCAATAGGGAAGGTACCAGGTTCAAGAGGCCAAAGAAGAGACCAAGAGCTGGCAAATGAGACACGGGGTTTTATTAGGGGGTTACATACAGGGGAGAGAGTCCGGCAGTTGGCGCAGGCTGGACCAACACAACCACGTAGCCCAGTGGCAAGTGGGATTTGGGCAGGAAAATGCAGCTGCCTGCAAACAGCATGAATTTTTATAGCGGTTTTCCACTTAACCACCCCCCTGTGACGACTCTCCCACTTGGCAACCTTCGTTTAACCCAAAACTCAGGTCCTCGATGTACAGCCGTGTTCCATGGAACGTGCCAGGGTTCAGATGTTTATCATAGAAAAGGAACGAACTTCCGGTTGCTACTTCGGTTCCCTAGATACTGGACCAATTTTAGATGCACTGCCATTCCAGGGTCATTCTCAAGATGGACTTAAAGTAATTGCTACAGGTGTGTATTTAACCCTACGCTAAGACGTATCAGGGTTAGGGATAGCAGCCTCAACTACCTTAAGAAGGCCCACCTTTGTGTTCGTCAAGCGATAATCTGCGATTGCTCATAATCTCTGCTATAACCATAACTAATAATCCCTCAGGAACATCGTTTTCATATAAAATCCTCATTATTTCTTAAACTTGCCTTTTTCTCTCACTGTCAATACGACAATTGATTTCCAATGAGGGCAATTCTTCAACAGCCATCTTATTGAACACTGACAGTGCCCTAGGACTTTTCAGAATGCCTGATGTCAGGCCCTGTCCCTGAGGAGAATGATATTTAGACCTAAGGATGCATGGTTGTGGGGAGCCTGTGACAAGCAATGGTTCTCATACCTGCTACACTTAGTATCACCCTGGAAAGCTTTGCAAAGGCCTGGGCCCAGAAATGCACTAAACCAAGGTGATTACCCGTTTCGAGGATGGGACTTAGGCCTGTAAGTTTTCAAAAGTCCCTGGGTGATTTAATGTGCAAACCAGGTTGGAGGAACCCAGTGCCCAGAAAACCATATCCTTCCATCAGAGATTGAATTGGCCATATGAGAATCATACAGGGGACATTTCTAATAAATAGAGACACACCTGGGCCCCCACCCAGAACAAAATGAGTAGAATCTTTGGAAGAGGGATCTGGGCAATGTATGTTCTCACAAGGCTCCTTCATATAATCCGGTACATGTAAGATTGAGATATCATTGCCACAGGCAATCTAGTGAATGAGAAAATCTGGAGTTGAACCCATTTCTGGCTCTTTGGCTTTGCAAGCCACGCATAGCTGTAGGATGAAGAGTTACCTCTGAGCGGTTGTGTTGGATAATGGTAACAGCAGGGCTGAGAACCTGAAGGTGTGGGTCAAGTCTTGGCTTTGCCATGTAACATTTGCTCTGCAATGTCGCACAAATCACAGAACTGCTCTGGGTTGGGAGTCCTGTCTACCTGCCTAAAAATCCAGTGCTCTTTCTACCATACCTGTTTTTAGACTTTTTTTCTACCTTAATTAATATTTTACTGTTCTTTTGTTTGTTTGTCTTAGTGATCAGTACATAGACCTAATGATTCATATACATATACAACTATATACATATAATGTATATAGTTGTTTTATTTTTTTCCCACACCTCCAGGTAGTATTTATCCCAGATTCCAAACTCTCCTGTGGCCTGAAAAATACTTAGTCTATTGGAAACATTCAGCAAGCTCTTTACAAAAATGACTGCAGTATCTTCAGCACATTTTAATTGTATTCATAGTTTGTTCCAGTCATGTGCAAGTTTAATGTACAGCTCTACATCACGTAAGGGAACATCTTTAACAACAAAACCTCCCCGTGCCCAAGGTCATGGACAGGAGAAGAAGGGTGTAAATTTCTACTTTATGCATATTCTAGGGAAAAATACTGTGGCTATCATTGACCCTTTTGAGCACTCTTGATTTTGGTCATTTATAATAGAACATGAGAAACAGTGACAGTGAATACAAATGAGTACTAACCAAATTCCTAGGCTGCTACCAGAAAATAAAATTTAAAGTCCCTTGCCACATTCACAAAGGCGGCAATAACTATATATAAGAAAAAGACTATAAACTTATAGAAAAGATAAACTCTGGCTTCTAAACAAATTACAAAATAGATTTTGCCTTTAGCCTTGAGTGTGACACAGAAAAATGTAAACCTGTAGACCTAGTTGCCAAAAGATACTTATCCTCCTCAGCCCAGGTATGAATTTCAAGTTTGGCCTGAGCCAGTTTGATCTTCAAGTTTTCTCCAAGTTTGTCCATGAACTCAAACATATTCAAGTAGTCAGAACATTGCACACTGGGTAAACCTTTAATGCTAGCAGCCAAGTCCTCGGTCATGAAACCAGCCTCAATTGTCTCAATACAGACTTCTTCCAAAGCATTTGCAAAGAAGCCAAGCTCTTTATCGTTATCAATATTTGCTCTGAGGGCCAACCCTCTGGTACAGGCAAAAATAGAAGCAATGGGACTGATGGACGTCTCCTGGCCTTTCTGGGACATGCGGTAGTGACAGGTTACAGTCCAGTGGGCAGCCACTGCTTCTACTGTCTTACCTTGTGGACACACCAGCACACTGGTCATCATGCCAAGAGAGACATACCCTTGAGCCACAGAGTCTGACTGCATGTCACCAGTATACTTTTTAGAGGCCCAGATGAAGCCTCCTTCTGATTTCATAGCTTGGACCACCATGTCATCGATGAGCCTATGCTCATACAAGATCTTTTGGGCTTCAAATTGGGACTTGTACTGCTTGTCATATATCTCCTAAAAGATATCTTTAAAACGTTCATCATATTTCTTCAAAATAGTGTTTTAGTGCTCAGATACAAAGGCCAACCCTTAGAGCCATTTGGAAGGAACTGTGTGCAAAATCTTTAATTGACTTATCTGGATTATACATCCCCATGGCAACACTATCATCCTCTTCCAAGTTATGTACCAGGTATGTCACCTTTTGGGTGCTGTCACTTAGTATGTAGGTTAGCTCTACTTTTCCAGGCCCAGGAACAACAAAATAAGTTGCTCTGTATTGATCCCCATAAGCATGACGACCTGCGATGGTAGGTTTTACCCATCCACTCATAAGCTGGCGGATATTTTTGCAGATAATGGCTTTTCTGAAGACTGTGCCACCCAGAATAATATTTTGGATGGTGCCATTTAGCGCTTTCCACATTTGTTTCAACTTGAACTCCTCAACCCTTTTCTCATCAGGGATGACAGTGGCACACTTGACACCAATGTTATACTTTTTTATAGCTTCTGCAGCATCCGTGGTGACCTGGTGGTTGGTGGTATCATGATTCTCTATGCCTAAATCATAGCTATGTAGATCCAGTTCCACACAGGGAAAAATGAGTTTCTCTTGAATCAATTCCCAAATGATTTGTGTCATTTCATCTCCTTGAATCTCTACCACAGAACTGCCACTGATTTTTAAATATATTTTGACTTTAATAAACCTTGAAAGTGAATCAATTTTTTAAAATTATTTTTTATTTTTTTTGAGACGGAGTTTTGCTCTTGTTGCCCAGGCTGGAGTGCAATGGCATGATCTCGGCTCACTGCAAACCTCCACCTCCAGGGGTTGAAGTGATTCTCCTGCCTCAGCCTCCCAAGTAGCTGGGATTACAGGCATGTGCCACCACACCTGGCTAATTTTGCGTTTTTAGTAGAGACGGGGTTTCTCCATGTTGGTCAGGCTGGTCTCAAACTCCTGACCTCAGGTGGTCTGCCCGCCTCAGCCTTCCAAAGTGCTGGGATTACAGGTGAGAGCCACCATGTCCCGCCAACAGTGAATCAATTTCTTATCACCCCAATTCCTTCCAGTCTTGCAGACTTAACTGAATGTAGTTTATCTCCTGCCGGGATGATATGCTGACGAGGACCTGGGGCGCCACAGCTGCTCACGTACTCAGACTCACACACGCAGGCTGGCAATCCCAAACGGGACTCCCGCTGCCTTGGTTTCTGTCACAGCCTCTGCAGAAACCCTGTATATAGTTCTTAACGGCGAGTACTGAAAATTTAAAAAGCTATGCAACTGTAATGTTTTCATGGTTATTCTATTGGCCTCTGGCTTCTAAACAAATTACAAAATAGATTTTGCCTTTAGCCTTGAGTGTGACACAGAAAAATGTAAACCTGTAGACCTAGTTGCCAAATATAATTATCCTCCTCAGCCCAGGTATGAATTTCAAGTTTGGCCTGAGCCAGTTTGATCTTCAAGTTTTCTCCAAGTTTGTCCATGAACTCAAACATATT